TTACGACCAGTTGAGTAGTCCTCGACTTACGACCGGTTGGGGGTCGCGGCATTAAAAAGGTTGAGAACCACTGTTCTAGAGTCTGGTTTCATGGTTTTTTTTTAACTTGTTACTAATTCATAAGAGGATCCAACTTGTTGCTACCTGCTTGTTTTGTGATATGCATTCTAACTGAGGTTCTTTTTATTGTGATTTTAAATCATTCTGGAAAGATTTGACCATCTTGGTTTTGTTGGAACTTTCTTTTGAAATCAACCGTGATTGCAAGGCTTGAGTTCCTGAGAGTTTCTCACTTAGCAACCTGTTGAAATTGGTCTTGATGTTAGGATTACATTCAAGGTTCTTCGTTTGACTTGAGTTCAGTGATGGATTGTTCTCCAGGATGATTGGATGGAGAATCCACGGATGGGTTGTCTTAATCTACCTGCTCCAATCAGACTAAGTCTGAAGCGTAGTACCGCCCCTGCTGTGCCATTTGCACCCCAGTTTAGACTTAGTCTCTTCGCTCTAAGGACGCGTTTTTCTTCAGCTCCTGGAGCAGAAGATTACAGTAGTTATTCTTATTCCTTTTGATTTATATTATTATATTATTTATATTATTCTGATCATGCTTGGAGATAAAGCTAGTTTTTTCTTGTCCAAGACTGCCTGCCTAGCCGGGCTGGCAGGCTCCACACGTTCCTACGTGCCCTCTTCTTTCAATTACAATCCCCCAGAAGCTTTACTCACCTTCCTGAGGACTTCAGCACCGAAGTTTTGAATTGCCGCTGAGGCGATCCCCACCAGCCAGCAACCTGTTGAAATTGGTCTTGATGTTAGGATTACATTCAAGGTTCTTCCTTTGACTTGAGTTCAATGATAGATTGTTCTACAGTACAATGATCTATGCCAGTGGTGGCGAACCTATGGCACGGGTGCCAGAGGCGGCACTCAGAGCCCTCTCTGTGGGCACGCGCGCCATCACCCCAGTCCTAGGCCTTAGCTGGGTTTTATAAAACTTTTTCGTGTTAGGCCTCCGCCGCCGTGTGCAAAAAAAAAAAAAAAAAGGTTCAATCAGTCAATTTCAGCTTCTCACGGGAAAAAAAAGATCTTGCAAAGTTGGAATTGATTGATTGAACTTTTTAATCCCACCCAGTCTGCCGTTACCACCGCAGCCACGCCCAGCCAATGGGCCACACTCACCCGGCACCCGACAATGCATAGGTGGGTTTTGGGTTGCATTTTGGGCACTCGGTCTTTAAAAGGTTCACCATCACTGATCTATGCTGTTGGAGAACTATGCATTGACCAAGACTATGCTAGAGAAATGATTGTCCAAATTATCATTGCACTATCTTCATTTCCAATATAACCTTGGTATATTCCCCAGAGAACAATGGTACAATTCTTGTTCTACTAAATTACTTGTGGTTCCATGAAATATATTCTTTTAAAATGTTCTAATTTGTTTGGCATGCCCAGTAGGATCATTGCTGATTCTAAATTGAAACAGTTGGTTATATGTTCAGCAGGCCCTCTCAATAAGCAAAAAATACACAAAAATGCAATTTATTTGTTTGAGTATGATATATATTGAGATATATAATGAATTAGAAGAATTAGCCCATTTCTTAGATATTTTGTAAACATGGCAATAAAGTTGAATGCTTGTATATGCATCATAAATTCATTACAATGTATGCAATGATTCTGTCAACACTAAGTGAAATTTCAATAACCTGTTTAATTTCTCATTATTGTCCTACAGGTTTGGGCATTTTCCAGCAGTGGACCAATCTTTTCATCACCCTGTGTTTCACCTTTTTCCAGAGATATATTCTTTGGGTCCCATGACTGCTTTATTTATTGCTGTAACAGGGAAGGAAATGTATTATGGAAGTTTGAAACCACCTCAAGAGTTTATGCAACTCCATTTGTTTTCTGTAGTCCTAATTTGGACAGTAAAATATTTCTGGTGGTGACATCTACAGATGGCAGAATATGGATCCTGAATGCTAAGACTGGAGTGGCCGAAGGTAGAGGAGAACTTCCAGGGGAGGTCTTCTCTTCCCCTGTCACCTGGGGATCGACCATTGTTGTAGGATGTAGAAACAATTATCTTTATTGTTTAGATCTCTGTTTATCTAAAGCTAATAGAACTCTGTAACAATGAGCTTTTTTTATATTTTCTACTTGAGAGCTAAATGTTTCCTTAGTATGAACTTTTTGGTCCAACATTTAGGGGAACAACATTAATTTGGCACTTGATTTAAAGCATTTTAAACTACCAAGTCAAAACCCCTAGAAATCTGGGAGTTAGTGCTGTGTATGGAGTGTTACATCCAAAACAGAATATGATTCTTCTGGAAACCAAACTGATGAATATTGATTTATTTAAAAATTTAACACATTGCATAGCTAAATATAACATATTTTTGGCAGAAATTATTTGGGGTTGTGACTAGGGTGCAGGCTTCAGGCCCAAAATTAGGCTGTGTGAAAAATGTTATTGGATATTGTTGTTGTTGTTAATTGCGAAGTCATGTCCGACCCATTGCGACCCCATGGACAATGTTCCTCCAGGTCTTCCTGTCCTCTACCATCTTCTGGAGTCCATTTAAGTTCACACCTACTGCTTCAGTGACTGCATCCAGCCATCTCATTCTCTGTCGTCCCCTTAATCTTTCCCAGCATTAGGCCCTTCTCCAGTGAGTCCTTCCTTTTCATTAGGTGGCCAAAGTATTTGAGTTTCAACTTCAGGATCTGGCCTTCTAAAGAGCAGTCGGGGTTGATCTCTTCTAGGACTGACCGGTTTGAACGCCTTGCAGTCCAAGGGACTCGCAGGAGTTTTCTCCAGCACCATAGTTCAAAGGCCTCAATTCTTTGGCGTTCAGCCTTTCTTATGGTCCAACTTTCACAGCCATACATTGCAACTGGGAAAACCATGGCCTGGACTATACGCACTTTTGTTGGCAGGGTGATGTCTCTGCTTTTTAGTATGCTGTCTAGATTTGCCATAGCTTTTCTCCCCAAGAGCAAGCGTCTTTTAATTTCTTGGCTGCAGTCCCCATCTGAGGTGATCTTTGAGCCCAGAAAAATAAAATCTGTCACTACCTCCATTTCTTCCCCATCTATTTGCCAGGAATTGAGAGGGCCAGATGCCATGATTTTGGTTTTCTTAATGTTGAGTTTCAAGTCTTAATGTTGAGTTTCAAGTATTGGATATTACACATATCTAAAGAAATTACATGTTCAAGTTCATGAGATTTTGGTATATGATAAATCTTACAGTATACTAAAATTCTAAGTATAATTATGAAGGTTGGAAAGATATTATCAAAAGACTAAGCGTTTATGACATCAATTTACATTGATTTCAGAGAATATGCAAGATTTCCTTTCTTATAGCTGCTCTGTCAATGCTGCAAATACTGTATATTCTTGCTTTGACAATATGCAAAACTGTCTGGTATTTATTGGGTTAATACTTAGCTTAGAGTGGAGGGGAAAAAAGGGAAAGAAAGAGGAAGTAAACTTTTGACCTTCACACTAATTGGATAATGTGACCTGTGACTGCATGAGAAGGGAAGGGTTTAGCAAGAAAAGCTTGATGCCAGCGAAAGGAAATCAGATTCTGGCATCAACACGTCCATCATGGTGACTGGCAAAATTGTAGCTCTGAAATAAAACTTTAGGAAACATGCCTGAAAGTTCTTTGAAGTGTTTCATTAGTCGGAACCTGTGACATGCTCTTTTTATTTAAGGTGCTATAACAAGGATATTATAATATTCTGTATAATCATATGATTATCGTTATATAATGATATTGCTATATGGCAATGGTGGTGAACCTATGGCATGGGTGCCAGAGGCAGCACTCAGAGCCTTCTCTGTGGGCATGCACGTCGTCACCCAGTCCTAGATCTTCAGCTTGGTTTTATAAAACCTTTTCACTTTAGGCCTCCACCACCGTGTGCAAAAAAAAAAAAAAAAAAGGTTCAATCGGTCAGTTCAACTTCTTGCAGGAAAAAAAATCTTGCAAAGTTGGAATTGATTGATTGAACTTTTTAGTCCCACCCAGTCTGCCGTTACCACCGCCGCCCCACCCAGCCAATGGGCCACGCCCACCCGGCACCCAACGATGCATAAGTGGGTTTTGGGCTGCAGTTTGAGCACTCGGTCTCTAAAAGGTTCGCCATCACTGCTGTATGGTATGGAAGAGTAATACCCTACAAAGAATAATGATACATAGGAACCTTTTGAAATATGGATTCTAATTGAATCATTGTATGTCTTAATGGAAGGCCTAAAAACAGCAAAACAAGATTTGCAAAATTATGATTGGTTTATTTACCACTTTAAACCAAAAATAAGCCAGCCATCTTATGATTTAGTGTGATCTTGAAGCATTGATTATCCATTTCGAAACTGGATTTTACTTGGTCTCAAGACATTTCAGCAAAACTCTTGAGAGAAAAGCATTGCTCAGTCACCCTTTTTCTCCTCTCCTTGTACAATTGAGTCCAAAATTTCTGTTGTAAGCGAGACCTCTGTTCAGTGAATGTTGTCCCATTTTACAACCTTTCTTGCCACACTTGTTAAGTGGATCACTGCAGTTGTTAAGTGAATCTGGTTTCCCCATTGACTTCGCGTGTCAGAAGGTCGCAAAAGACGATCACATAATCCCGGTACACTGCAACCGTCATAAATATGAGTCAGTTGCCAAGTATCTGGATTTTGATCATGTGACTCATGAGAATTCTGTAGTGGTCGTTAAGTGTAAAAATGATCATATGTCACTTTTTTCAGCGCCCTTGTAACTTTGAACAGTCACTAAACAAATGGTTGTAAGTGGAGAACTCCCTGTATTTTTAAACAACGCTTAGTAATGCCAAGTATAGTTGTAATAAATGTGTTTCCTCCCATTACTAATTATCAAGGATGGCTTTACTAAAAGTTTACTTAACTCTTTCACGGCTTTATGATTTTTTGAAATGACTCAGCAAATAATAAGTATTTTCTATAGAAACACAGCTATTTTTATTTATATAGAACAGGTTTTCAGGGATGGACCATTTACATTAAAATTGTGATGATCAAAAACTGAAAATAGAAATTCTACTAACATACCCCTTTAGTCATTGTTAATGTTGCCCTGGTTGTAATATCTTCTAAAAACAGTTTTATTCATATATTAATTCAGGCTCTTGTTCTAAGGTAACCAGACACATTTAACAAAAGATGATGAATAAATAAACCTCCCAACTTTCAGCATATTATAGTTTAATTGGAATTAAAATTATATTAGTATAAGAAACAATTGCACTTTAAAACATTTGAAAAATTAAAAAAGTACACAAAACAAAATCCACAATTATACATGTTTATAATTTTATACACCACTTTATGAACAATTGAGGTTAATCATAACCTCAAATAATATTTTGCCTTTATCTAGAAAAAGTTACGCCCAACGCCTGTTAGTGTATAGGATAATTCAGTCACTGCTGATATTAGCTCCACTAATGCCAATCCAGGCTTGGATATGATTAACTGTCTCTGGGTAAGGTATGTTACAAAAAAAAATAAAATAAAATTGAGACCACATTGTGCAAAGTGGTTTGATCAGTTTTAAAATGTTGGAAGTTATTCCAGGTTTGTTGGTTTATTAAGAAAGGCGGCAACAAAGCTTAAGCAAAGTAACACTTCATTGGTATTTAGTGCAAAAGTTCAAGTTGACCTTAAATGAAATGACAATGTTAAAACAGGCTGATAGAAATGTTTATAAACAAAGTATTTTATGCAGCCCAGCTTTGATCCAATCACTGATGCAGAAATTGAGACTTGTTAATACAAAACTCTGTTGCACGGAGGGCCAACAGCAATGTCTCTGCATGTGCAGATTAGCAGAGAATGCAATCCACCTGCTGTTTCACATCACCTGTTCGATAGAGCAAATGGAAAGGATGCCCCATTGCTGTCCAGGAATCTTTTAATGCTGAAGGTTAATCAGGGCTGTAAGTGTTGATAATAAATATGTTAGAATGGTGGCTGAGTAAAATTGGGAGAAGCAAAGGTCCTATGGCCCTTTACTCTTGTCCTGCTTCCGTGGACTGAATACAGTTTTAATTCACTATGGATCCCCATGCTTGAAAAGACTGCTTTAGAACTATTTACAGACTATAAACTCTGCATTAACCATCCCTAGAATTATTTTGGGAGTTTTGCTTCCCTCTTTTCTCATGCAAATGACACCCACTTCCCCCGTAAAATTACCTGTTTCGCTTTGCTTTGCCCTTTCTGCCTCCCCAATTTCCTCCCCAATCCCCTTTACTCCAACCCTGTTCTCCCAATCTAGAAGTCTCGTTGAGTTGGAAGAAATTTGAGAGATGTATACTATTTTTTTTTTTTTGCAATTGCATGTTGACACAAGTATATGCACATTAAATTGCTTCTAAATATGCTGTAGGCCACCTTAGGAGTAGGGAATTGTGTTACCTTAGTCACAAGAAGTCTTTGCTAAATTTGCATCCACGTTTAATATGTTATTTGTAGCATATTTAGTAGAAGCTGTTCCTGGGTTCACCTAATCAAACATTACCTTGTACTCCAATAATGAAATCTGTAAATTGTGGGTGAGCAAGACTGAAATCCAGAAGAAACTCAAACTGTTCTTGAATTGAACAGCCAGATGATGACATTTTACTCTTCCTAAAGATCACTTAGCTGCCATGAGGATGAATAAGAATTAACTCACATTGGATGAAATCTTCACTCTTGATGTGAATGGCCAAAAAAAAAAAAAAATATTTTTCATTCTTCAAAACACCACCTTGGCTCTATATACTGAGTTACTAGGAGATCCTAAATGCACCCTTGAAGTTGTATTTCTAATAAGACTTTTCTGACCTAAAACAAGATGAGTTGTAAAGAAGGTTTATGTCCTGAGTTCACATAAAATACCAAAGCGACAATGGCTACAAGAATAACTTTCTTTGGGACAGTTACTCAGCTATCAAACTTAGCATCCTTGTGCTTCTCCATAAACACAACAAATGTTTTCTCTGCGCTTCTATGCCTATTCAGTAAAGGCATCTGTTTGGTTGTCTTGGATCAAAATTCCTTGGATTAAGAGTTTTTGCTGATTCCAGATACATAGTGCGTGGGTTGAGTGTTGTTGTTTTGAGGTGGAAGTTTTGAATGAGAATGTAGTTTGGTAGACTGCACTTTTATCTTAAACGTGTTTTCATCCTAAATTGATGTTACAATTATGAGAAACAGAAATTCTGAATTCAAATTCTGTCTCAACCATTTTTTTTTCCCGACAATCTGACTTTTGGTGCAATGGAACACTATTTTCACAATATTTACATGTCTAACTGGAAAATATAAAGCAATACTTAGGGGTAAAGGATTCGCATTTTCCTTACAAGTATTTTTTCAAATCAAAGGTTTTCGTTGCCAGAAGAGCCCACATGTCTATAAAACAGCTGCAAAGATTTAGGAGGTTCCATTACCTTTGTTGCTGTGCAGCTGGTAGGAATTTGGCGGTCCCAATTTAGTTTCCCTAGTTCAGTGTTTCTCAACCTTGACAATTTTAAGGCATGTGGACTTCAACTCCCAGAATTCCACAGCCAGCAATGCTGGCTGTGGAATTCTGGGAGTTGAAGTCCACATGCCTTAAAATTGTCAAGGTTGAAAAACACTGCCCTAGTTAAACCAATTCCATAATCTTGAATCAGATCTAATTCCAGGTCAAAAAGTAATATCTATTAACAGAATAGCTATAGTTTCACCTACTCTCATTAACTCTGCTAATAGTTTGCAAAGGTAATGTGCAGTACATACATCTTACTGGAATGAAGTGTAAAGGGGCTAGATCAGTGATGGCGAACCTTTTAGACACCGAGTGCCCAAAACCACTCCACCCCCCTGCCCTGCCCACTCTGCGCCCTGCCCCGCCTACTCCACCCCATCTCCTGCCCCACCCTGCTCCCCGCAGGGCCACTTACCGCCTCCACGGACTGCCGCGGCACATTGCCTAGGCAGTCCTGCAGCACCATGGCCACATAGCAGATGATGCTGTGGGGGCAGAGTCTTGTACCTCCTGCCCGGCTGCCATGTCCTTGGCTGCGCTTCTCTGCACGGGCCACAACCGGGGGTGACTCTCCACCGGGGGAGCTGCTGGTGAGGAGGGGGCCGTTGGAGGCAGGGCTGGGGCGACTGCACGCGTGCCCACAGAGAGGGCTCTGAATGCCACCTCTGGCACGCGTGCCATAGGTTCGCCACCACTGGGCTAGATTTTCCACCCTACTGTCTGCTGCCCTCCAGATGCTGAAACTCAACATTTCTGAAAGATAACAGACTAGAGAAAGTTGGACTAGCCTCCTTCAGATAATATGAATGGCCGGGGTCCAGAGTGTCCACCAAGTATGGTGCAAAAGCCAAGATAGTGTCACTGAAGCTCCACCCATTGTTTATGGGTCACAGTTCTAGCTGCCACCTGGACATCTGGGGATAATTTTTAAGTATATTTTTTCTCTTTTTTTTGTATATCAGTTTTTTTTCTTTTTTGTTGTTGTTACTGCTGGATGTTCGTTTTTGTTTTGTTGGTTTTTCTGTTTTGTATTTTACCTTTTATGATAAGACTGGAAATCCTAATACATTTCTCTCCAAATACAGTTGAGTTATTTATTCAGTATAGTGTTATTGTACAGGGAGTGAGGATAAAACAGAGGAGAGAAGAAGAGACAAGATATCCTGACTTTCTGTAGAATGAGGAGGCATATATAAATAAATAAGTTAAAATACTATTGTTGCATTAATATATTTCTGGATACGAGGGAAATGAAAATATAATAATGCAGTTTGCACAGGCTGTTGATGGCTTGGAGAATCATTTAGACAAATACAAGTAAGGACTCTTTGATGTAATGTAACTTGAGTGTTAATTACCGAATCATTAAATACATTTGAGAAATGTGACTAATGTTCAAAACTAAAAATCTCAGGAAAAACCCATTAGGATTAAAAAAAAATGGTGCTTTCCTTATTCCCAAATTACATTTCATTATTTCTGGAGTCATCCTTGCCAGATCAGAGGCAAATTATTCAAAGTTATCTCGTAACTATGGCAGAAGCAGATCTTTCTTATTCCTGTACCTGAGAGTGGCATTTGTAAAATGTCCAAATAAAAATAATATCTTTACCGGGAAGCTGACATTCAACAACACTGAAGCAGTGATTCTTAAAAGTGACCTGAAACTCAAAACTCCTGCTTAAACATTCCCCTCATGATCAACAGTTCAATGTCTCTGATTGGACAAAGTACGCCCTTAAATGTGTTCGGGAGCATTGGAGAATAGGAGTAAAAAAGGAGACGGCTCCCCAACCAGAGTAAAGCACAAAAGCGAGATCCGTTTACTTGATGATCTGAGGACAGTCGCTCCACGCTTTCGCTTTTCTCTTGGCCAAGGCCAGCCAAGCAGGTTCAGTCGAGACGGGGTTCGCATCCGGCGTAGAGAATCTCTTGGTGACCTCTTTAGCCAAAGGGGACGATGAAAGGGAATCCGTGATCTCCACTGTGAGAGAATGAGGGAAAGGGAAACTGTTAACCGGACCGTTGCAGAAATCTGTTACGCTAAGCTTACCTTCCCTTGAGCAGAGCCCTTGGCCTTTCGTTAGGGCAGCAAAGAAGCCGAGAACAAAGATCACAAGAGTCAAACAACAACAAAGTATTTCGGGAGCAACTCTCGTGGTTCCAGTTTTACCTCACGAAGTAGACAGAAGCATAGGTGCTCTGCAGAATAATAAAAATTACCTGAAGCGCAGCTCTCCTTCCCACGCTAAGAGATTATTAGAACTGAAAGGCAGAAGCAACGGAAATTAAGTGGTATTTTTACTATGTTTTTTTTAAGTATTATTGCTTTTTTGGTCTTCCTTACTTCCGTGGGGGTGGGGTGGTGTTTTGGGGGGAGAGGATAGGCTTCCACGCAGCACCCTAAACATGGACTTTACTAGTTAAAAGGCCACATGTTACCTGGCAGAGAAAGAAAAATATGTTTGTTGGATACCCAGCAAATACCCCAAAAACTAAGAATGTGTCACACAAAGGCAGACTTTCAAATGTCTGCGTATCTGTAACACATTCTTGGTTTTAGGTTATGGTTTCAGACGGTCTCTTAAAGCAACTGGTACGCTGAACACAGGTTGAGATACTTGCCTGCAGAGAAATCAATTTGTTTCTCCTATGTTCTTTTCTGTATATGATAACACAACAGCTGAAAATTAGTTTTTTCCTTTATAATTTCACCAAGGATTAATAGGAAGGCAAGAAGTTAATAGATGATATTTTTTTTTAATTTGCTGATTAACATTACCAATAATGGAGTCTTTTACCGTTTGGGCAAAACAGCAGTCAATTTTCCACCAAGAAGTTGGCTTTCATTTCTTCTAAAACATATAAGGAACGGTTGCTAGAATTGGGTATGTCTAGTTTAACGAAGAGAAGGACAAGGGGGGACATGATAGCAGTATTCCAATATCTCAGGGGCTGCCATAAAGAAGAGGGAATCAAGCTATTTTCCAAAGCACCTGAAGGCAGGACAAGAAGCAACGGGTGGAAACTAATCAAGGAGAGAAGCAACCTAGAACTAAGGAGAAACTTCCTGACAGTGAGAACAATTAATCAGTGGAACAACCTGCCTCCAGAAGCAGTAAATTTTATTTTATTTTTTAAAATTTATAAGCCGCCCCACTCCCGAAGGACTCTGGGCGGCTAACAATAAAAAACACATAAAACATAACAAACAACAATACAAAAACAATCATCCAGGGGTAAGGTTTTATAAACCCCAGGCCTGCCGGAAAAGCCAGGTCTTAAGTAGCTTACGGAAGACCAACAGGGTGGGAGCGGTCCTAATCTCCGGGGGGAGCTGATTCCAAAGCGTGGGCGCCATCACAGAGAAGGCCCTCCTCTGCGGCCCCACCAAATGGCACTGCTTGGCCGACGGGGCCTGAAGGAGGCCCAGCCTGTGGGATCTAACCGGACGTAGGGAACTATGAGGTAGTAGGCGGTAAATGCTCCAACACTGGAAGTTTTTAAGAAGAGACTGGACAGCCATTTGTCCGAAATGGTGTAGGGTTTCCTGCCTGAGCAGGGGGTTGGACTAGATGACCTCCAAGGTCCCTTCCAACTTTGCTACTATTATTATGTAAGATGAAGTTAGTGTTCAAGGAAGGGGAGGGAGGAAGAGGAAGAATTCAGTGCTATGTTTTAATGAGTGAATTTCACAGCATCCACAGAGGTAGTCAGATAAATCCAGATTTTAAAAGATGAATGCGGTGACATCATGACATGGTCTCTGTTTTGTACTTGTGGGTGGCCATGATAGTGGATATGAGTAAGAATAGGATGGATACCAGGCTCGTGTTTCATTACTTCCCCTCCTCCTCTACCTATAGAAGCCTAGGCAAAATTGCATTTAAGATTGTTCCCACTTTCATGGGAACAGCCGCTAAATCTATTCATTGATTAAAGAGGTATCACACCCTGAATTCTTGCCCTAATCAGAGGCTCCAGAAAGAGGGGTCGATCGATTCATGACTACACAGAATACAGAATTGCTCTTTCCTTTTACAGCTTAGCCCTCGACTTACAACAGTTCAAAGATACAACGGCACTGAAAAATGTGACTTAGGGCCGTTTTTCACACTTACGATCCTTGCAGCATCTCCGTGGTCATGTGAACAGAATTCAGATGCTTGGCAATTGGTTCATACTTATGACCGTTGCTGTGCCCCAAGGTCATGTGATCATTTTTGGGGACTTTCTGACAAGCAAAGTCAATGGGGAAGCCAGAATCACTTAACAACCAGGTTACTAACTTAACAACTGCAGGGATTCACTTAACACGGCAAAACAACTTGTGAAAGAGCTGAGGTGGCGCAGCAGTTAGAGTGCAGTACTGCAGGCCACTTTAGCTGACTGTGTTCAGCAGGTCAGCGGTTCAAATCTCAAGATTGACTCAGCCTTCCATCCTTCCGAGGTAGGTAAAATGAGGACCCAGATTGTTGGGGGCAATGTAAATATATATATATATATACATTGCTTACTGGTGTACACCGCTTAGAGAGTGCTTGCACTTAAAGCGGTATATAAGTCTCATAAATAAATAAATAAATGGGGTAAAATTCATTTAACAAATATCTTGAAATTTTGTTCTCAGTTATGATCGTACGTTGAGCAGTAAGTTGAGAAGTAAATGATTCGGTGATGCTATTTTAATTGGTCAGATATTGCCTTTATCTGGATGCAATCCAAAGTATTTTTTAATTTGATATTTGGAAGACTGCCTTTCGAAAGAGCCGTCAGCCTAAACACTTATAGAATAAGAATACGTTATGGTGCTTAATTTAGATCTTCCACAACAATAACTTATTCTGATGGTTATGGCTCTTTTATATGAATGAGCTCCGTCATTTAATGTTATTTTATGTTACTAGCAGAGCAACAATAAATTATATGAAGTGCATACAATTTTATGGAGACCTCCCTATTGGGTCCTGCCTTTCCATAAACTAAAATTAGCCCATTCCCCCTGCCTTTATCACCCAAAGCTATTGCTTGTTTTTTTTAATCAGTGAATTGGTTTTTAAGCCTAAATGGCAGCATTTAAGAACTATTCAAAAGGAGCCATAATTAAGAAGCAGAATAATCTGGAGACAATTTCTTTAGTAAGCTTCGTGGAACAACCCATTTATTATATCACCACATCGTTTGCTTACCATAATAGCTTATAATCGCTTAATATCTTAACTGTTGGCCACATTTGTATCCAGGCTATATTTATTAATTGAGAAAAAGCAAGTTTGGACTTGGAATTTGCTTCCATCTGACCTGAATGACTGAGAATCTCCACAGACATTTAGCTATGCCCTTTGGGAGGAACACCCTTCGAAGGGTGCGGGAGTATGAATGGATTTCCAGAAAAAATGGCGGATTACAGGATTCAGGTGACCTTGAAGGCACCGGTAAACCTCCAAGTGGCCTGCGCAACTCTCAGAAAGAGTGCTAACGACCAGATGACTGCAAGGAATATCAATCTTTCCATTCCCCACCATTCAGTCAGAACTGAAGAAGCTTCTTGAGTGAGAAGTGAAATGTCTTCAAGCAAAACAAGAAAGTCTAGTTGCCTTTTGAAAGAAAGCACTTTTGGGACAGTGAAAACCTATGAGCGTTTTTCACGCTTATGACCGTTGCAGCATCCTGATGGTCATACGATCAAAATTTGGATGCTGGGCAACTGACTCACATTTATGACGGTCGCAGTGTCCCAGGGTCATGCGATGACTCTTTGGGACCTTCTGACAAGCAAAGTCAATGGGGAAGCCAGATTCACTTAACAACGGTGTTACTAATTTAACAACTGCAGTGATTCACTTAACAACTGTGGCAACAAAAGTTGTAAAATGGGGCAACAAATTTTGGGCTCAGCTGTGGTCGTAAGTTGAGGACTATCTGTAGGAAACATGCTCCTGCGTTTCTTAATTTAAGCAATCTCTCATTCTGTTCATCGCTTTCTTGGAAAAAGGCTGGTTTTCCTAAAAAAAAAAAAAAATCCTTAACTGTAACTATGAAAGATACCTGCACATTGGAAACGCACAAGGCAAGGTGAACCGACAAAGTCTTACATATTCAACCATCTCAGAAATAAAATTACAGCCACAATCGTGGTGCAAAATGTAACTCATACCTGTGACCGATGAAGGCAGAGTATTCGATTTTTTGAGCTGTTCTCTACGTTCAAATCTTGATGTAGCCGTCTCGATTTTTTTCTCCTCTTCTGAGACTGTGGATTTTTGCAGTATGTTTGACTTGCTCGTATTATTGCTTTTATTATCTGCCAACTGGTTGTTCATGCTGGCCTAATGTAAAAAGCAACAGCACAAACGTACTAAATATTAATATGTTTACAGAGCATACTCATATATGTTGACTCAAAAGTAGAAAGCATGGACAAAGGACAAAGAGCATTTGTAAATGCTTGCTATCTTCCAGTTGCTGTAACTCATGTGACACATTTAAAATACAGAGAATGATTACGTTCAATATGTGTGCATCTTCTTCTTCCTATGGAACATCCTTATCAATAAATTCATTTAATAAGGCCACCCGATGTCTAGAGACAATGGCCATAATCAACTGAATAAATTATTATTAATAATAATTACGCCTTTGAAAACCACTCAGAAACTGCATTTGGTCCCATATGAAATTTGCTTGTTGACTAGCATTAATCGCTGGACGTGGATTGCATCTGTCCTGCAGATTCTGTGTTGATTATCAGCTCCTGATCAGAAAAGAGACAATAGCAAAAGACTGGAAGCCTGTCTGCTCTCTTATTGTACGGAGAAGCAGAGGGAGCCAGTCTGAGTAGCTTCCTAATGCTTTCTCCTTTTCCAGGGTTCAAGGCCTGCTTTTGTTTCCCTGGCAGCTTCATCGTATCTCATCCAAGGCCGTATCCTTGGCTTCCCAACTAAGTAGGCTTTGAAGTACAATGCAATGCTTTTGAGTTTGATTTTCTATCTTTAGTATTGTATAGAATGTGTTTTATTTTGCCATCCTAGTACCTCATCACTTACTAATGGTGTATCCTTTATTGTCTCAGATCCATCATCTGTATTATCTGGGCTAAACAATAATTCGAAGCTATTTCCTAATAGTTAATTTTCATTTATAAATCTAAATCCTCCATATTAAGCCAATTAATCCCTTAATTTTTTTATCATTTTCCAACAATATTTATATTTTAAATAATCATATTTCCCTTTATCTCAAAATTTCCCTTTAGCCCACTAGTTGAGACTTTAGGCTCCTCTCTAATAAATCAAGACCCCATTTTTTAAATCTAACTCTAGCTTTCTTTTTATGCCAACCAGGCATAATGTCTATGAAATAAAATAAGAATATATTTAAGTAAGTAATATGTGTTTTTTAGATATTATAACTTTTACGTAGTGAAATAAAGGAAATTTGGGATATCTGAAACTTAAATAATATGGATATTAAAGGTTAAATTGGAAGACTGCAATTAAAAGTTAAAAATAAGGTAAAAGTTAAAAACAGGATATGGATATGTATAAGCAAAAATATATTGACAAATGTTTCAATTGAACTTGTTATAATTAGAAATTTACTAGCTTAAATATGATATAGCAAATGTTAAGGGAAATAGAGAAGGAACTTTTAATAATGTAACCTGAGGTATGTACTAAAGATTCTGTTATTGAACTATTGATTACCCAATTACCACGCTGCTTTCTAAATACTCAAATGTAAAACTGGAAAACCAATAAAAACTTGTTATTAAAAAAAAAGGATGTGTTTTATCTTGCATCCTGTTTCTTTACTTTTTATTATAGTTTATATTACAGCAGTTCATTTAGTGGCCACTCGAAGTTATCAATGGCCTGGAAAAAAGTAACTTGTGACCGTTTTTCACACTTGACCGTTGCAGCATCTCTATGGCCAGGTGATCAAAATTCAGGCATGGTTTAAGACAGTCCCAGGTCATGTGATCACCTTGTGTGGCTTCCTGACAAGGAAAGTCAATGAGGAAGTCAGATTCATTTAACAACCGTGTTACTAACTTAACAACGGCAATGATTCTCTTAATCACTGTGGCAAGAAAGGTCGTAAAATGGGACAAAGCTGACTTAACAACTGTCTCACTTAGCAACAGAAATCTTTGGCTCAGTTGTGGTCATGAGGACTACCTGTACTATGCAACGGTTTTGACTCTGATTTTCTGTCTTTAGTATTGTAGGGCATGTGTTCTATTTCTGTAAGTTGTTTCTTTGCTTTTTATTATAATGTGGAAGCTCTTTCCATTTGTGTTGTAAGCTGCAGTGAGTCTGGGAGGTTTGGCAGCATGCCCAGTTGATAAAATGTCAAGGTGTTGGTTTAATAGCTAACGAGCTTATGTAATGTAAGATGTAATAATGGGAATGACTCAGCAGGGTCTGTGTCTCTTTAAGAGCCTTTGTATAAAGCAGGGGTAGGCAACCTTGGCTTCAACTCCCATAGCATAGCTCAGGAATTCTGGGAGTTGAAGTCCACGAGTCATAAAAGAGCCAAGGTTGCCTACCCCTGGTATAAAGGGAAGGCTCTGCTAATGTGTTCTTCTTCTTCCGTTTTCCTGCTGTAACTGTGGTTTGTTGGATCTTGCTGTATTAGCTCGTGTATGTGTATGATCCCGGTGTATGATATTGTAGATAGTGTAAGATAAACTACCATTTACTATAGACCACTGTTTACTGTGTTTACTCCTGGGTTATCTCGTGCAATAAGACTGTGCACGCTCTGACAATGTGAGATGAAGAAGGTTGCATCCATCTCTCTCTAAGCTATCATCCTCCCAAAGTAGGAATGTTGGCTTTTTCTGTTTTACTTGAGTTTAATCATTTATTACAGGTGGTGGATAATTATGGCCCCTTTATGATCTGTGGGCTTCAACTGAAGTCCACAGGTCATAAAAGAGCCATAGTTGCCCACATTTGATTTATTATAATGAAAGCAGTGCTTTTGTTTATCCTGACCAATTTCATTGCCCCTGCTAGCAGAAGATACCAGGTACCCCCAATACATTATACTCTCCCCCCTTCTGTGTTTGGATGCTTACATTTTCTTTAGCCAATTTCTCAGCCTGCTTGGCCTCTCGGGCTTGCCTCCTTTCCTCGCGTGTTGCTTGCTGCTCCCGAAAGCCCTTCTGTTTTTGCAATGCCAAAGTGATCCACAGGGGCTGTGCCGTTTCCCCTTTCTCCATCACTTTTGAACCATCGATGGAATGCCTGCTCTGAAGAATTGGCCTTTCTGAAAGATGGAACAGAGTGGAAGAATATTCTGTGGATACGCTGTTGGTGCTGATAGAAATGGAAGCGGTCCAAAGGAGGACATCTAACCAGACCTTACATCTGTGGTGTGCAAAATGTTGCTTGAAACTTCTCCTAGCTCAGCGGTTCTCAACCTATGGGTCGCGACCCCATTTGAGGTCGAAGGACCATTTTACGGGGGTCGCCAAACAACGCGATCCGCCATTTTTCCTCCTCGGGGCGCCGCCGCGCATGCGCGCCGTGCATGGGGGCACCGCCGCGCATGCGCACCGCGCATGGGGCGCGTCCGTGTGACGGGGGTCGCTGTCACACAAAGGTTGAAACCGCTGTCCTAGCTGCTGTTACAAATTCATTTTAAACAAGCTATCTACACATTTATATTTTCAGACATTTTTGATGGTCCTCCGTCCTTGGATGTTCTGTGTGCCTCATTTATCACATCCTGCGTATGTACAATCGATAGATTTGTATATTTTTAAAATATCTCAGGGTGTTTTTTTGTTTTTTTTTTAATTCACCTATTGTTTAGACCAGAGGTCCCCAACCTTTTGGGCACCAGGGACCAGCTCCGTGGAGAAAGGTTTTTCCATGGACCGGAGAGTGCATGGTTTTGTGTGCTGCCTGCATCCCGCGGATGGGGCTTTGCTTGTTTGTGGGGACCGGTTGCTGGTTGCTGGTTGCTGCGGCCCAGTACTAGTCCACGGACCGGGGGTTGGTGACCCCTGGTTTAGACAATTTTAAAATGGTCTATTTTCAAAGTCTGCATAGGCTTATATCATTCTAGCATGTTATTTTAAATCTATAAAACAAATCTGCTAGACACGTCTGCTCCCGTAGCATGTCTTGTGTGTTTCATGAAACATTTCCTTTCCTGCTAAGTTTTAAAATTCATTATCTTTCTCTAGGCCATGAAATGACACATTTTTCTTCTTTAAAAAGGCAGAAAAGAAACAATCTCTTATAGCACAGTGTTTCTTCCTCAAATGCACGGGGAGAAAAATATTTGTTAGGTGGAGCACCAATAAAGCACTTCAAAGTCCTATATTTTTGAAGGGGAGCTTAATACACTTCTGGAAAACATCTGGAAAATACTTCAGCGTTGTCAACTTTCTCAAAGCTTTGCTAACAAGTTTTGCATCCTTTAGTTCCAATGCTGGCTGCCCTAGAAATGGCAGAACTGCTTTGAGATGTAAGCATCTGCGAGTACCAACACTTCCATCTATTTCTAGAAAGCGTGGGTGTTTAATTCGGGATACATTTGATATGCTATTTTGGGCCATTTGAGCAAATTTTTAAGCTTGTAGGCGGCACATAGAACATGGAATATAGACTTTGACCTGCAGAAGATCTGCAGAAAAGTCTTACACTCTGATGCAGGAAGAAGCAATGCAAGGTCTATAACATTGGAGTAGTTCCACTAGCAAGGAATTTTATCAGAGGAATAAGCTGTTGTATATAAACAAAGGGATGAAGGCAGACAAGTTAAGGGGAAAGATCTGCCATGCGCAGGAGCTCTGCATATGTACCAAATAAAAATTATTTGATACTTCTGGGAAAAAAATCTTGGCTTATGCTAAGTATCTGCCCATTTTATTAGGTATTTTTTTCAGGACTAAATAAAAGTCTATGACTTGTCACTCTGAGTATAGATAGATTTTATGTAACCCTCTACTTTTCCCCTGGACTGCAAAGCGATCAAAGCGGTCAGTCCTAGAGGTGATCAACCCTGACTGCTCTTTAGAAGGCCAGATCCTGAAGTTGAAACTCAAGTACTTTGGCCACCTAATGAGAAGGAAGGACTCACTGGAGAAGAGCCTAATGCTGGGAAAGATTGAGGGCAATAGAAGAAGGGGACGACAGAGAATGAGGTGGCTGGATGGAGTCACTGAAGCAGTAGGCGTTGAGTTTAAATGGACTCCAGAAGATGGTAGAGGACAGGAAGGCCCGGAGGAACGTTGTCCATGGGGTCGCGATGGGTCGGACACGGCTTCACAACTAACAACAACTACTTTTCAGAGGCACCCAATTTATTCATGTTTGATCCATATTGTTGTTTGTGAATTCTCCTGATCTCTAAGACAGACATCTGTCTGATCTTGTTTGAAAGACATCATAGTGGCTCCAAATTGCCTACATGTGAACATCTTTTGACACATACCTGTTGAAAAGGGGTCTAGGACAACTTGCCATGGCCAACTCGTTATGCAACTACTCACTGTGGTCAACGCGCCACCGGACACCTCACCATGGGACAATCCACATGAGATAACTCAACACAATAAAGGTGATCCACCACTGTTTCTTCTACATTATTCCAGTTTTTGTCAATGGAAATCATGTCAAAGAAACAGTGGCAGATAATATTTATCACGTTGAGTTATCCTATGTGGAATTGTCCATGCCAAGTTGGCCACTGAGAGTTCTCTCGCAGTGAGTAGGCCGCAGGAAGATGGCCCCAACGATACGGCTGCAGTGAGATGGCCACGGCAAGTTGACTACAGCGAATTGTCCCAATATGGCACATCAGTCTTTATTTAAAGTGATGTGAGTATTGCAGTGTTATCAGTATTCAAGAAAGACTGCAGTCTTTAGGTCAACTGCAAGTCAATCAGGTATATGTCTACTTCCAGTTCACATGCTAACCTCGGGCACCTGTATAAACCTCAGCTTTTGCAGCTAGGAAAAGAGGAGTGTCTAGAGCAGGGTAGGCAACCTTGGCTCTTTTATGACTCGGGGACTTCAACTCCCAGCATTCCTGAGCCAACCATGCTGGCTCAGGAATTCTGGGAGTTGAAGTCCCCGAGTCATAAAAGAGTCAAGGTTGCCTACCCCTGGTCTAGAGCAGTGGTTCTCAACCTTTCTAATGCCGCGACCCCATAATACAGTTCCCCATGTTGTGGTGACCCCCAACCACTTATATATCACCGGGTGCCAGGGGCGTGGCCAAAGAAAAGGGGAAAAAATGGCGGACAGCCTTGTTTGGCGACCCCCGTGAAATGGTTGTTCGACCCCAAATGGGGCCCCAACCCACAGGTTGAGAACCACTGGTCTAGAGGAACAATAAAGCAGACCTGCACCAAATCCACTAAGGATGAATGTCTTCTTAATAGATTTAATTTAATGTTGCCTTGTCCACCTTCCTACGAACCTTCCTAATCAAAGGTAGCTTTTTCATGAGGAAGTTGTACTTAAGAGTTGCCTTTTGCTTACCTTTTTTCAATGGCTCTGGCTTTTTTTCTGCTTTCTCTCTCCAGGGCATGGTGATGGATGGAAAAAAAGATTTCTTCTCTCTAGATTCTTCCTCCTCGTTCTTGCTTTCACTGGGCGCTTGGGAGGGCTGAGGACTCCCTTTACCTTCACTTTTTCTCCAGCTGGTGTCAGGTTCCACTTTAGATACCCTTTTCCCCATGGGTTCGGTGACGTGAGCTCTACGGGGTTTTGAGAGAGGAGATGAAGGTGGTGTTTGGCTGATGGGCTTTGGAGCCAATGCAGGTTTTGGTGGGAGGGGTGATTTAGAAACAGTTTTCTCTTGACCAGGTGCAGACATGGGACCAGTGGGACAAGACACAGGTGCAACGATGGTGTAATTGCGACTGATAATAGTTAATGTGCTATTATCAGAATTAAGCCTTGCGTCTTTTCTCTCTTGACTCAGAGATTTGCTATCTTTCAAAAATAAAGGTTTTGCATCTTGTTCATTGTCTGGGGTGACCAGTGGAGTTGGCAAGCCATCAAAACTATCTCCTGCACTGTATCTTTTCTTCTTCTTCTGCTCTGCTTGCTGGTCATAGTGAAAACGCAAGGAGTAATTGGTCCTCCTTAATTTCACCCCAAATGGGGCGACGTTTTCTTCTCCACTTGGTGACGCTCGGTCCATTTTTTGGGAACCAACGTTCTGCGGTGTTTCCATTGTTGACGAAGTCTCCGATGGGGAGACTTCTTTATTTGGAGAATACGGGAGACTTGGAACAAGAAAAGAGGGGAGATCTTTGGCAAACTTACATCCCTCGGTACTACCTGCTACTTCCTGTCGCCCTCTGATTTTCCCTGGTGAAGTTCCTACATTCTTTGTACCAACCGGTGACTCTGTTTGGACTGCCTCGTTGTCTGAATGCGGAGTGGATGGACTCAACTGCACTGCTGCATTTTCTGCTTCGGGAGCAGTTTTATTCTCTGCAGCTGTACTGGTTTTGGATATTTCTGAAAACTTCTGCCATGCAGGAGTTATAGAAAACTTTGCATTTGCAGACAAAGTCTTTCGTAAGTTACCATGGAAAGTACTTCGACTTTTCGCTGTCCAATCATCACTATGCCTATTAAGACTCCCGTTGTCTTTCTCATTAAATTTATCGTTTTCTGCACCTTTTAAGATTTTTGAACGAATTGAAGCCCATTCATCCAGGATGGCTTGATTGTCCACTGAATCCTGAACATGCTTCACTTTAGTACTGTTTGGCCTGCCATCAACAGGTTTCTGGATGCTTTCTGGCTGAGGCGCGTCCATCACTTTCTTTTCTTCTGTTAAGCCAAGTAAAGATTTACAGGCTGTATCTTTTATCTGATTGAGATTTACTGCAGTGCCACAGAGTTGTGCTCCAGTGACCAAGATTGCTGTATGTGGAACACATAAAGAAGTTGGAAGATTACTAGAACCTCTACTAGACTTAGGGTCTTTACATTCTTTTGTGGCAGAAGGAAGTGGAGCCTCTTTAACAGGGGTAACTGGACTTAAATTCACTTTTGGAAATATAATTTCTTTTTCTCCAGAAGACACTTGAAAGGTGAAGCCCCTGGACATTGTTTGCCGGGCGTCCACTTCCTGCCAACGTAATTCTTCACCAAGAGCCCTTTCCTGCTTCTCAACTTCAATGTTCATCACCTGATGAACTCTTAGACTGCCTTCTTCCTTCTGCTCTTTGCCTGGCTGAGTTCTCTGTTGCTGCCCTGATTCCTCTTTACCTTGTAGCTCTTTCTCAACAGTTTCCAAGCATTCATCTTCTGGTTGCTTATTCATGTGTAACTGGTGGGGTTCCTTCTCTTCTTTTGGCGTTTCCAGTGACTGCTGATCTTCTAAACAGAGGGTTTTCTGTCTTTCCAATTGTAGGTCCTCTGTCCTTCGTATAAATTCCTCCTGATGCACTTCCTTCTCAGCCCACAAATGCCCTATTTCTGCTGGTGCTACTTTTCTATGTTCTGCTGATCCAACCGATCTTGCCGATTTTTGCTGCTTTTGTTCATTTGTACTAAATTGTTTTTCATTCAGGTTTTGCTGTTCCTCTTCTTGTCCCTTCACTTTCATAGCTGTTCCCTTCTCTTGCAATTGGCTTGTATCATCTAAATTTTTGTTGCTTTCTTGTTCTTTCTTTCTCTGTCCTAGTTCTCTTTTTTGCTCTTGCAGTAGTTGTTGGTTTTCAGACTCTTCAGTTGGCCCTGTTTTAAGTTCTTTCATCGCTTGCTTTTCCAAATACCGATGGCTTATTTTTTCTTCCTGAGTCTTTTGCTTTTCTGGTTCTTTCTTTTTATCCTTCCATCCTCCCTGGATAAAACTGTCATTCTGTTCTGTTCCTTGATGTCTCTTTTCTTCTTTTGGATCTTTGATGTTCTGCTGTTTCTGTATCATACAAACTTTATGCCTTTGTTCTTCTTGTTCATATTGTCTCTTCTTTTCCTCCTGCGGCCTTTGTGCCTCCTGTTCATGTCGCTTCCGTTCTTCCTGCTGTTGTCTTTGCTGGTCCAGTTCACTTTGTCTCTTTGCTTCCTCCTCCCTCTGTCTCCGTAGCTCTACTTCATGTTGTCTCTTTTGTTCTTCCTCTCGCTGTCTTTGTCGGTCCAGTTCACGTTGTCTCTTTGCTTCTTCCTGATGTTGCCTTTGGACCTCCAATTCACATTGTCTCTTTTGTTCTTCCTCCAGCTGTCTCTGTAGTTCTAGTTCACGTTGTCTCTTTTGTTCTTCTTCCCGTTGTCTCTGTAGTTCTAGTTCACGTCGTCTCTTTTGTTCTTCTTCCCATTGTCTCTGTAGTTCTAGTTCACGTTGTCTCTTTTGTTCTTCCTCCAGCTGTCTCTGTAGTTCTAGTTCACGTTGTCTCTTTTGTTCTTCTTCCCGTTGTCTCTGTAGTTCTAGTTCACATCGTCTTTTTTGTTCTTCTTCCCATTGTCTCTGTAGTTCTAGTTCACGTTGTCTCTTTTGTTCTTCCTCCAGCTGTCTCTGTATTTCTAGTTGACGTTCTTTCTTTTGTTCTTCCTCCCGTTGTCTCTGTAGTTCTAGTTCACGTTGTCTCTTTTGTTTTTCTTCCCATTGTCTCTGTAGTTCTAGTTCACGTTGTCTTTTTTGTTCTTCTTCCCATTGTCTCTGTAGTTCTAGTTCACGTCGTCTCTTTTGTTCTTCTTCCCATTGTCTCTTTTGTTCTTCTTCCCGTTGTCTCTTTTGTTCTTCCTCCAGTTGTCTCTGTATTTCTAGCTGATGTTCTTTCTTTTGTTCTTCCTCCCGTTGTCTCTGTTGTTCTAGTTCACGTTGTCTCTTTTCTTCCTCCTGCTGTCTCTGTACTTCTAGTTCATGTTGTCTCTTTTGTTCTGTCTCCTGTTGTCTTTGAATTTCCAGATCATGTTGTTTCCTTGCTTCTTCCTGATATTGCCTTTGGACCTCAAGTTCACATTGTCTTTTTTGTTCTTCCTCTCGCTGTCTTTGTAGTTGTAGTTCACATTGTCTCTTCTGTTCTTCTTCATGCTGTCTTTGGACCTCCAGTTGAAATTGTCTCTTTTCTTCTTCCTGTTGTTGCCTTTGGACCTCCAGCTCACCCTGTATTTTTGCTTCTCCCTGCTGCCTTTGTGCCTCTAGTTCTTGTTGTTTCTTCTTTTTCTCCTTCTGCCATTGCATGTCCACTTCATGTGGTTTCTGCTCTTCCTGCTGTCCTTGTGCCTCTAGTTCATGTTGTGCCTGTTCTTGATCCCTTTGTTTTTGTTCCTCAAGATCCTGAGATTTTTTTTGGATTTCTGCCTGCAATTTTTCAAGCTTTTCTCCATTCCTTCTCTGTTTTTCTTGTTCTTTTAGGCCTTTTGCCTGATGATCTTGATCTTTTTTCTCTTCCATTTGATAAAGTTGTTCTTCCTGAAGTTGCAGTTTTTTCCCTACTTGTTCTCCTTGGACTCCCTCAAATTCTAGAAATCTTTTGTGTTCCATAGGGCTTTTGAATTTTGCTTCAGCCATTTCTTCCTTTTGACCTGCCTCAAGTTTTATCCAGTGGTCTTGTTTTCGTTTTCCTTCAGTTTTCTGTTCCTGGACTTCTCCATGCTGGATTAACTTGTCTGGTCTGTAATAGCTATCATCTTTTGTCATTTTATCTTCAGTGCCCTGCGATTCTAGGATGTCTTGTCCAAAGTCAGTTTCTATTAAACTTTGTACCTCCTAGTATTGGGAAATAAAAATAGGTTTACTTAATGCAGTAGAAGGCTATTATAATCCCATTCCTATTTTAAATAATTCATTGGGATGAATTACAGGTAGTCCTCGACTTATAACAGTTCATTTAGTGATTATTCAAAGTTATAATGGCACTGTAAAAAGGGATTTATGACTGTTTTTCACACTTACAACTGTTGCAACATCCCCATGATCATATGATCAAAATTTCGGTACTTGGCAACTGGTTCATATTTAGGACAGTTGCATTGTGCATGTGATCACCTTTTGTGATCTTCTGACAAACAAACTCAATAAGGAAGCCAGATTCATTTAAGGACTGTGTACAAACTTAACAACTGCAGTGATTCACTTAACAACTATAACAAGACAAGTTATAAAATGGGGCAAAATTCACTTAACAACTGTCTCACTTAGCAACAGAAATTTTGGGCTCAATTGTGGTCATAAGTCAAGGACTATCTAATTTGCTTTTATAAAACTTAGTCATATATTGCAACAATGTTAATGTATTCTATATAACATTTCAACATGTATAGAATAGATTAAGGTCTAGTAATTTGTCTCATGTTGATTCCATCCAGGTTTCAGGCATTTTGAACTGCTATTTATGGAAATACCTATTTGGGGGGGAAAAACAATTAGCATTCTACCATTTAGAAAATGTATCCATTCAGAAATTCACTATTCATCTAAGAAAGTTGCAGGATGCGTAACAGGCAAGAGCTTGTATTCAAAGATAAAAGGAATGACTCCCAGTTCTGGTGTATACTTGCACAAAGAACTGCAGGACGACAATGGTATAGTACTGTAAATGTTGAAGTAAAATGGAAATAAGATATAAAACATGCAGATGACAATATCTTATCTGGCAAAAACCCTTGTTAATTATATACACTAGTATTGGTGAACTAAGCAGTCATTGTTATTACATTTCATTCTCACCCAATAACATGTACAATTTGTTCTACTTCAAATTTATCTATAACAAAGATAAAGGTTTATCTTAGGGGTCGGCAACCTTAAACACTCAAAGAGCCACTTGGACCCGTTTCCCAGAGAAAAGAAAACACTGGGAGCCGCAAAACCTGTGCGCACATGCCTGAGCGCACAAGGGGGGGGAACTTGATTGAAGAGTTTAATTAAAAAGAAATAGAGGCTGCTGTGCATGAGTTCTCTCTCTCCCCCCCTCCCTTCATCCCTCTCTTTCTCCTCCCTCTCTCTGTCTCCCCCCCTCTCTCCGATCTGCTGAGAGAGAGAGAGAGAGAGATGCTGCTTCCTGCTGAGACACATCAAAGGCAGGAGCCCCGCCCAATAAGCTTGTCAGCTTGTCCAAGAACAGCGTGAGGCCATTCTCTTTTTTATACAGATACAGAGAGAGAAAGAGAGAGAGAGAGAGAGAGAGAGAGAGAGAGAGAAAGGGAGGGAGGGAGAGGGGAAGGGAAGCGCAAGTGCCTCTCTCTGTCTCTCTCTCTGCAAATGGTGGAGGAGGCTGGGAGCTGCAGGAGAAGGCTCAAAGAGCCACATGCAACTCCGGAGCTGCAGGTTGCCAAATTGCTCAAGATTCTTTGAGATTTTGCCCAACAGATTTATAAAAGTCTCCACTGCAAAAAAATATTTGTAGCTCAGGGTTGAACTGTGGATTCCTTGCTACTCTCTGAGGCTGGTGGTTTGATTGTAGTCATTTCATTATCAGTCATTTCATTATCATTATCAGACTAGGTAACATAATTAGTACTACCAAATGTTAGTACTAATTAGTACTAGCAAATGGGGTTTGCCACCTATTTATGGTAGCTTGCCCTACCAGTATAGGGGGGCATTAGGGAATGCTAATAATTCCTTGATTAGGGAATTATTTTCTGTTAAAATTGTTTGTCTGGGGTTAATCCCTGCTTATCTGATTGCTGGTTGCTATAGAGGAAGCCGTTTTTATTTCCTCCTTAGCGCTTTATTATCTCTTTTAAATGGTGTATAAATATCATTTATCTCTATAGTATATACATTTTTTAAGTCTATGTACGTTTCTTTTACAGATGAATAGGAAAAAGCATATTGAGTGCAAGTCGGTGAATAAAATGGCAGAACCTGACAGTTATGACTTTATTTCTGAGAAATGATCATCATATATAGCAGGGCAGAAAATCTCCCAAATGGGGTGAGGTAGATTTACCTCCATCAGTACCAGCTGAAGTGTAATACTGAAAGATTCAAAGGTTAACCAATATTCTTAGACGCGCTCTGTGTCTTAAAATCAGCAGCTAAAATTCAGACCTCCGTAGCAATCAGTTCAATACCTTTGACAATCTGTGTTTTTTGGAAACCCTCTGCTTCTTTGGCCTGACTGAGAGTTTGTGCTTTGCTGCACTGTTGTCCAGGCAAGCGGTGGCCAATGGGATGGCATCAAGGTTGACGGTTTCAATGGTTCCAGAAGGGGAATGGTGTCTTTTTGGCCGAGAGGACACTTTGACAGGGGTCACCTAGAGAAATCCCAAGAAAAAGGAAAAATGAGAGAAAGAGCTGAGATCCTGTATTTAAAGCAAAATGAATTCCAAATCCAGTAATTCACTCTAGAAATGAATTCAAAGCCAAGTTCGCCAGTTTCTCTTATTGCTTTCCTTCTTTATTTTTATAACTTCCTGTGCCTCCAAATGGCCTTGATAAGACTCAAAGAGAGAGAGCTAGCAACCAGATGATTGCCAGGAATATAAACCCTTTCATTCCCCACCATTCAGTCAGAACTGAAGCAGCTTCTTGGATGAGAAGCAAAACATCTTCAAAGAAAAGACAAAGGAAGTCCAGTTGCCTTTTGAAAAAGCATCTTTGGGACAACCATGACCTGGATGACTGAGAACCTCTGTAAACACTATGATTTTTTTCCCTCAGCACCGCACAATATGGTGTTTTTTTCCCCTGAGCTCTCAAGCTCAAGACTCATTGCAATTAAAAGGACTGGAAAATGCACTGGCTCAAAACTCATTTCGGCTGAACCAACTTTCAAGAGATTTTCCTTGGATGAAAACTGATTGTTTTGTCACCATGAGTTAATTTCTTCTAAACACCTTCTTCAGTGGTCTTCCACAAACTGAAAGAACAGCAAGGGGAGTGGATTGGAGACCTTTCCCATCATGAATGCCCATCCCTGCCACTGCACACTTAAGAGCTGGTATCAGGCAAGTATTTCTTTGGCTTTCAGGACAGCAAATGTATGATAAAAAGGGCACCACTTGAACATTCCCCCTGTTAACAAAGCCATGTGACAAAAATCTCTTCAGAATGTTAGCTTTCCCTATGAATGATGTTCCCATATTAATGCCTTACTAGTGAAGTTCTGAACTAAGCTGTGGAGGATCTCTATGCAGACATAGTCTATTATCAAGGTTTGTTGTTGTTGTTAATTGCGAAGTCGTGTCCGACCCATCGCGACCCCATGAACAATGTTCCTCCAGGCCTTCCTGTCCTCTACCATCTTCTGGAGTCCATTTAAGTTCACACCTACTGCTTCAGTGACTCCATCCAGCCCCCTCATTCTCTGTCGTCCCCTTCTTCTATTGCCCTCCATCTTTCCCAGCATTAGGCCCTTCTCCAGTGAGTCCTTCCTTCTCATTAGTGGCCAAAGTATTTGAGTTTCAACTTTAGGATCTGGCCTTCTAAAGAGCAGTCGGGGTTGATCTCTTCTAGGACTGACCAGTTTGAACGCCTTGCAGTCCAAGGGACTCGCAGGAGTCTTCTCCAGCACCATAGTTCAAAGGCCTCAATTCTTTGGCGCTCAGCCTTTCTTATGGTCCAACTTTCATAGCCATACATTGCAACTGGGAAAACCATGGCCTGGACTATACGCACTTTTGTTGGCAGGGTGATGTCTCTGCTTTTTAGTATGCTGTCTAGATTTGCCATAGCTTTCCTCCCCAGGAGCAAGCGTCTTTTAATTTCTTGGCTGCAGTCCCCATCTGAGGTGATCTTGGAGCCCAGAAAAATAAAATCTGTCACTACCTCCATTTCTTCCCCATCTATTTGCCAGGAATTGAGAGGTTACTTTCTCAAAAAAATCTGGACTATGACCTGAACAATAGTTTACATCTCAGTGATCCAGGAGGCACAGACATTATTATCTGCTCTACTGTAGTAGCGTGGAAGCAAAGGAAAGAGAATGTCTTGGTATGGCTATGGACCAAAAGCTGAAGCTGAGGCAGAGTTTCATGCTATGCTCCCAGTTATCCTTTCTACTGCAGCCTGCAGTAATTCTGTCATCCCCAAATAATTCTGATCCATAGGACATTTGGAATTTTGAGACTATGTCTGATATATCTCCCCAAAGAAATGCCATGGGTAAATTCATCTAGTCACAAAATGGCAGCCATTGTGAGTATGGTCAGATCTGAAAGACTACTTTTGATAGCTCCCCAGAACAGTCTATACAGTTCAGGTTCTCTTCATCCTTGTTTTCTGAACAGGTAGCCATACTTTCAAACAAAATATGGGCTACGGGCTGCCATTTGATTTTTTTTTTAATAATGCCAAGCCCATCCTTGAAAGAAAGATGCTAAAAGATAGCACTTTGCTTTGTAGTATGCTAACTTTTCATTTTGGGCAACTGAGTGGGAAGATGGTTAAAATAATTCAAAACTGAAAAAGTAAAATGCCAAGTGGTGCAAAGAAACTGATAGGAACCAACAGAAGGTCAACAGGCACAAGCAATAAATGTCATAAAATTTAAAGCCATACCATGGTTTTATATCTCAATGGCTTACAACTCCAGGTTCAAAGGTACAAGTTTACCTCAGTCTGAGTTGCCCGTTAAGAAATGTGGTTAGACATTTTCATGTAATTTGTTGCAAATTTTGAAGTGGCCCTGAAGAAATAAATGCCATTAGTGTCTTATTTCTAATACCTTCTCATCTCTGTCACGACTTGTTTCACCCAGACTTGTAGGACTTAAGGAATCAGGCATCACAGTTGACTAGAAAAAAAATATGAATATTATACAAAACTATTCCAACCAGATATATTGTAGATTCATACTTTCTAGAAGCACCAAATGCTTTTATATTACAGTCATAATAAGATCCTATTACAATGTTAATCTAATGCCATCTACATTTGTTGGATAAATTGGCTGAATAAAAAGATTTGTTCCCTTCTTTTCCAGCAATTTTAAATCATGAGAAGAGGAAGCTGGATTGCAAGCCTAAAAGGATGGATGTTTTTCTATTTTTCATGCTTTACCTTTCATACAATTATGAAAAAACTGTAAAAAGTAATGCTTATAAAAAAAACGAGGCTTCCGGTGGGAGGCGACGGCGATGGCGGCTAGCTTTTAGCCGTCCAGCTGGGGAAGTGTCAGAGCCGCGGAGCGCAGCGCGCATCAGCTGGCCCGCGGCTCGGAAATCCCTTCCCGGGCAAAGGGAAGGGATAGAGAACGCAAGAGTAGAGGTAGAACCCCTAAACCCCCTCTGGATTTATTTCTAGAGGGGGTGAAAGGAGTGTTCCCTCGGAGCTCTTGCTGATCTCCGCCTCCCAGCTGTTTTTGCTTCCTCGGAAGCAAAAGAAACCGCCGCTTCTATCTCCGTGTTTACAGCATTTTGGTGAGTAATTTTTAAACGGACGGAGCAGTTTAAAGGATTTTTTGTTATATTTTAGGTGTTTATTTTTTTTATCTTTTGATTTTTACTATTTTTCCTCCTTTTCTTTGTTATACTAGTGAAAGGACTTAAGATGGCGTTTTGAAAGTGTCGGAGTTTTTTTTTCCTTTCTCTTTTGTTTTACTTTCCCTTTTTAAGGATTGTTTTTTGCTTTTGCTTTTGCTTTTGGCTTAGAATTTTTTTTTTTGAATTGTTTGCTCTTTTATTACTTATTCTTGGGATTTATTCTGGACTTTTAATGATTATAGTTTGTCTCTTTTTAAAAATTCTTTTTTTCTTTTTTTTCCTCCTCCCTTTTTGGCTGGAGGGGAAAGGGAAGTGACAATTGTGCTTTTTAAAATGGCTTCAAAGAGGCAGCAGCCTTCCTCAATACCCAAGGTTATTTCTTCTCCTATAACTTCCACTGCACAGTTACAACAACAATCTAAACATGCACCACCGGCTCAGCCACCACCCTCCCCTCCTTTACCTGGACTTTCAGTGCAAGAGGTTAGAGGTATAATGGGAGAGATTGTAGTTCAAATGAGAGAGGAAATGACTCAATTTGTTTCACAGATTAAATCAGAAATTAAATCTGATCTCAAAGAAGAGATAACGGGGATAAAGTCTAAATTGCAAGAAAATAATAATGAATTACGACAAGATATACTGGCAGCTGTTTCAGGTTTGGCTACTGTGGTGGTTAAGCTCGATGCAAGGCTTGAGGAAGTGGAAGACAAAGTTGACTCTTTAGATGACAAAATTCAAGACGTGGAAAGGAAGGTGGACTCCTCACAAGAAGATATTTTGATGTTTCAGTACAGACAGATGGAGTATGCTCTGAGGATTAGAGGCCTCAAGGAAGATATGAATCAAGATTTGATGGAGGTGGTTCTTAGTGATCTGGCGCTGGCTTTGGATATGGATAAAGGAGAATTACAGAGAGAAGTAGAAAAAATTTATAGACTCAACTCCTGGATTGCTAAGCAGAAGAATTTGCCCAGAGATGTGGTGATTTACTTTACAAAGAAGTCCCTGCGGAATGAGATTATACAAGCTTTTTACAACAAAAGATTTCAGATTGCCGCCCAAGATGTCATCATTCTAAAGGAAATCCCATCTAAAATCTTAAGAAGTAGGAAAGACTTTGCTTTTTTAACCAATGAGCTTAAAGCTAGATCGATGCCATTCAGATGGGAAATTCCGATGGGTATCGTTTTGAGCCATGCTGGGACACGTTACAGATTGAACACAGTTGACAAAGCTAGAGATTTCTATACTTCGGTCCTGAGTGCAGGCTCAACTTCATCTGGTCGGAAATCTTTGAGTGCTAAGGAACCTGAGCAGCAATCTGAGGCACTAGATTTGGTTTCCGCAGGGATGATAGAAGTGGCAAAGCAACGCCAAACGGAGGCTAAAGAGCAGAGGATGACTCGTGCAGCTTATAAGCGTAAAGAGAAAGAGCAACGTAAAAAAGAGCCCAAAGAGAATTCTCCTGGAAGTCCATCACCGCCGGTGGGAGGAGCAAGACCCAAGAGTTATGCAACACATGCAGCTCTGTCAGAGTTTGATGGTGTCTTCTCCAGGCTGCGTGCCAAGGGAGATGGCAAAGTTTTTGACCTGGAATGTTAATGGATTGAATTCTCCTCAGAAACGGAAAAAAATCTTTTATTATTTGAAACAACATACCAATGATGTTATTTGTTTACAGGAAACTCATATTCTACTTAAAGATCAGAAATATTTAGTTAATGCTCGTTTGGGATCTCATTTTATATCTCCTGCACCTGGGAAGAAAGGGGGAGTTGTTATATATGTCAAACAAAACCTGCCAGCTTGTCTGGTAGAATCAGATCCCCAGGGGAGATATGTGATGATTGAACTTGGTATTTATGGTAAGAAAGTACTTATAGTTGGACTTTATGCTCCAAATCAACAACAGGAACAATTTTATAAACAGTTACACCAAAAAATAACTTTGCTTGACTATAGATCAGTGGTACTAATGGGTGATTGGAATGGTGTCTTAGACACACAAAGGGATAAGAAAGGTTCCTCTCCTTTTCTTAAACAAGCAAGGCTACCTAAAGCCTTTTTTGATATGAAAGAAGACTGGGAATTAAGGGACTATTGGCGGGAACGTAATCAAGAGGAGAGAGACTTTACTTTTTTTTCTGACAGACACCAATCTTTTTCAAGAATTGACTTTTTCTTGATTACCACGGATTTGTATAATAAAGTAAAGAATGTAAAGATTTTTCCTAGATCACTGACGGATCATAGTCCAGTTTGGATGGAGTTGATTCAAGAGAAAGAGGAAAGAAGATCCTGGAGAGTTAATGAAAATTTGTTTAGACAAGAGAAGAATGTTCAAAAACTAAAGGAGTGTTTAAAGGACTATTTTGCTTTGAATATGTACAAGGGGACTTCAATGTCAATGGTATGGGATGCAGGTAAAGCATTTATGCGCGGTGTTTTGATAAAAATGAATAATTTTTATAAGCGAAATCAGATTCAGAAACGTAGAGAACTTGAAGATGAAATTAAACTAAAAGAAAGGGCTTTGATTCTAAATCCTTCTGATGAAAGTACTAAAGAATCTGTAAAGTTATTAAGGTCACAATTTAATATGTTGATAGCAGATCAAGCTGCAACCAATTTATTATTTATGAAACAAAATACATTTTGTAATGCTAATAAGCCGGGGAGATGGTTGGCTTATCAATTAAGAAAGAAACAGAGACAGAGAATAATAGAGAAAATAAATTATAAGGGTAAACTAGTTTCTCAGAAGGAATTAATTAAAAAATCTTTTTTGGATTATTATCAAAACCTATACAAATCTACTAATGTACAACTGTTAGATATAAATAAATATTTAGCTGAGGCAAGTTTTCCTAAACTGACTGAGGATCAGAAATATGAAATTAATGGTTTAATCACTAAGGAGGAAATCGCCTCAGCAATTCAACAATTGAAATTAGGGAAAGCACCGGGTACGGATGGGTTAACAGCTGTTTATTATAAAGCCTTAATGGAGGAGATGATTCAACCATTAAATGATCTTTTTAATGGTATCCTACAGGGTTTAGAGATTCCTCCTTCATGGCGTAGTGCTTTTATATCATTGATTCCAAAGGAGGATCAAGATCTTACTTTACCAAAAAACTATAGGCCTATATCTCTTTTAAACGTGGATTATAAGATATTTGTAAAAATTTTGGTAAATAGGCTTATGAGGGTGGTGCATCATCTTGTGCATAAAGATCAATCAGGGTTTATAACAGGAAGGTATATGAAAAACAATGTTAGACAAATTATTAATTTACTAGAATACTTAGATAAGAACAACCAAGTTTCTGCAGGGCTCATATTTTTAGATGCTGAAAAAGCATTTGACCAACTGAATTGGCATTTTATGCTAAGAGTAATGGAAGAAATGAATTTTGGTGAAAACATATTACAAGCCCTTAAGGTAATATATCAAAAACAAACAGCACAACTTATTGTTAATGGAGGTTTGTCGGAGGTTTTCACAATAGAGAAAGGTACTAGACAGGGGTGTCCTTTATCGCCATTGTTGTTTGTTTTAACATTGGAAATATTATTGATTAAAATTCGAGAGTCTCAGGAAATTAAAGGAATATATGTTAATAAAAAAGAATATAAGTTGAGAGCTTTTGCGGATGACTTGGTTGTTACTTTGTCGCAACCTGACTATTCTGTAGTAAACTTATTACAGTTGATTCACCATTATGGTTTGGTCTCGGGTTTTAAGATTAATGTAAATAAGACTAAAATTTTACCTAAAAATATGTCGAGTCAGGAGAAGCAGATTTTGGTTAACTCGACGGGTTTTGAGATTGTTAATAAGGTAAAATATTTGGGGGTGATGCTGTCTGTTTCTAATGCAAAATTATTTAAAAATAATTATGAAAGGTTGTGGGTCGGGGTACAGAAAGACTTGAAGAACTGGGAAAAGCTGCAATTATCCCTCATGGGAAGAATTGCAGTGATAAAAATGAATATTCTACCCAAGTTTCTTTTTTTGTTTCAAATGTTACCAATTTTGAAAAATGAGATTAATTTAAATGAGTGGCAGAAGGGTCTCAATAAATTTATTTGGGCAGGGAAAAAACCAAGGGTTAAGTTCAAAATTATGCAAGACTTCCGTGAGAGGGGTGGACTCAAGGTACCAAATTTGAAATTATATTATGATGCGGTGGTTTTAACATTAATTAGTGACTGGGTAAATTTGACAAATTCTGAGATACTTTATCTAGAGGGATGGGATTTACTTTATGGGTGGCATGCCTATTTAATATTTAATAAAAAAATA